AAAGAATCAATTATGGTATAAATATTAAGGCAAGATGCACAGCTAATGTGTACTGAATGCAACAACTGCATCTCTGCTCATGACAAAAAAATTCAACAGTAATTTTACAGAGTTAACTATCAAAAGATAAGCAAAACTTTCTGGTTATATTATTAAAGATTTGGGGTTTAAGAATGGGAAGAATGTGAAAGGAAAGCTTTGAGACCCTATGATAGGAGGAGAGAGAAGTGGTACAAAGGATCTTACTGGGGAGTAGAAGGATGTCTATAGAATTGGGTAAAGGTAAGACAAAAAGAATGGTAAGAAATAGAAGATGAAAGAAAAAGAGGGAGGAAAATTATACAGAGGATACAAATAAGAAAGAAACAAGTATGATGAGAAAATTTACAAGGGAAAAGAGGAACAAAAGAGAAGAAAAAGAGATTAGAAGGAAGGCTGAAGGACAAAAGATCACCAAACCTCAGGAAACTGGTGAATAAGACAGGAGGGAGCAAAAGAGGAAAACAACAACAAGCAAACAAACAAACAAAAACAAAACAAAATCCAGAACAAAGCAAAGCAGAAAACTAAAAACAATATTCACATCCACTAAAACAAATAAATAATTAAAAAGTGAACCAAATGAACAAAAACCAGAACAAAACAAAAGAGAGAGCACAAAGGAAGAAAGAAAAAAAAGAATAAATTTCTCTGTGATTTTGAGAAATTTCTTTGTGTTCTTCTGGGGTCTGCAGTTTTTTGGCAGTGTTCAATTAAAGCCATGATTCTGTTTTTGCTGGTAGACAAAGGAAGCAGTCAGAGCCCAGATCTGTGCTAGGTAATAACTAGCAAGCTGGCAGTAAAATTGGGGTGGGATGCTGGTTTTCAAACTTTCAAATTCATGGAAATTCAGTCTGAACCTGGCCTGTGGGCATGGGGTGTAGCCTGAGTCATTTAGCTTGTAACACTCTGGCTGTCTCTTGTTGTCTGACCATGGATGTCTCCTGTGGTTGTCCCTCACTCAGTCACTGTGGAAGCTTAACATGGGAGGCCTGAGATGAAGCCAACTTGTGACTGATATGAATCCCACGTTCAGTTGGCCCCTCCCTAGAATGGTGTTTAACCAGGCATTCCCTCTTGGGGATATGACAGATACCTGTTCTGGAGTCACTCACCAACTGCTGTAGTGCAAAGCATCCACTGCTCCATTCCACTGGTTTGTTCCTCCCTTAAAGCCTCTGGAGTTCCCCAACTTTCACTGTGCCTCTGTAGATTTGATCTTTTTCATGAGCCACAAGCCAGGAGGAGCCAAGAAGAAAGTGCCGACTGCCCATTCCTTTTTCTGCACTGTGGTCTGTCTTCAGTTTCTCTGAAGGCTCCAATTTTCCCTGTCAGATCTTTCCTGGATAGTAGGGATTCACCTCCCTCTTTTTCTTCCCTAAATTGTTGTTTTCCAGTGTCTGGATTCCAAATCATGGAGAGGCTTATGTGTTGCTGCTTATCACTGCCAGGTTCTGTAGTATAATCTGATACATGTAAACAATGGGAAATGATCAAATCAGGGTGATTATCATTTTCATACCCTCAAATACTATTAAGTGTTGAGGACCCTCAAAATCTTTTGTAATCATTTTGCAATGTACAAGGAATTGATTTAGGCTATAGTTATCCTATGTAATACAGTGCCATTTAACACCAGAATGATTCCTGTTTCTGACTGTGTTTTGGCATTCATTACTTTCTCAATACCCCCATCCCTTCTCCATTTCAATCTCTAGTGATCTTTATTCTACTTTCTGCTTCTGTGTGATCTACTTTTTCAGTTTTTACAAATGAGTGAGAGCATGAAGTATTTGTCTTCTTGCATTTAGGTTATTTCGTTTGACACACTTTTTTCTCCAAGGCATTCTCTTCTACCTAAAGGTAATAGCTCAGTCTCTGAACTTAGATTTTTATCTTTTGATTACCTGGCATTATCAACAACTGTCCAGTATAATTTCCCCTTCATCTAGGATATGGCACAATAGCCCTCAGATTTCTTTATTATCTCAGTGATGTATGCGGACACTTTGCCCATTAGCTGAGTTGATTCATCAATGCATTCCATTCTTTCAGTGGAAATCTATTATGTTTATTTATTTGAGGAAACATAATATTTAGACGCTGTTCTTCAAGAAAGTTGCCCATATGAAAAGTTAAATAAGCACAAGTCATCATAATAAAAGGGATCTTGCAAGTAAAATCTATGAATTCATAGGAAAAATGCTTCTTTGTAAATTTCTTGGAGAAACTAAGGATTGAGTTTGACACTGATTGATGGGCTACATTTTAAACAAGGGAGCTATCCATCTAGTTTGTGTCTTATAACAAGGGGGGTCATAATGGCAAATTAAATCTCAGGTCTCATATTAGTCTAAGTGGGAGCTATATTTTAATTTATAACTTTTGAATGAGTAGGTAAGATTAGATCTAAGGAGTACATTAAACTTAAGAACTTAGATGTGTATGCTTTTAAGGGTGATTCATGTTTATAAGTAAAATTTATATAAGCGATAAATTTAGAAAAATAAATAAAAAGTCCTAAACAAATTGTGAAAGAAGCATGAAGGCCAAAATAAGTAGGAATCGTTGGGGATGCCATTAACAATTTAGCAAAAAGGAATAGAAATGTTGTGCTCACTTCAGCAGCACATAATAGGAATAGAAATTATTTTACCCACAAAAGAGACTAAAGTAGTACAAATTTGATTGATATATTATGTAGCTATCACAGCAAATATGGTAGGATGGCTCCATAGGGTTGTTTCTGAGTCTCTACTCTTATCACATTAATCATAAATAAAGTCTGTTTATGGAGAAGCTCATATTGCATTGTTTTATAATTGTGAGGGTCAATCTATTGTGTAGCAGCAGAAGGGAGAAAACTGAGTGAAAATACGAAAAGAGTAGAAAATTATGAAGCAGGGAGATTGATAGGGTTAAGAAATCACACTTTTTTGTAGAACAATATTCACATCAGCAAACATGCAATATTGCAACGGTGTTTATGCACAAAACTCTTAATGGCTTCAGTTGTATACACAGAAGGTAAGCTCTTCACTATCTCTAAGGCTTTGAGTGGATGCAGACATACTTGTAAATCAGGCCTAGGCTCACAGATTTTACAGTCTAGGGGGACAGTCTGCCCCACCAATGAGACCTTATGCCATAAAAGTAATTCTGTTAAATACTGTGGGAGTGTAGGGGAGGGAGATTGTGCCTTGGCATTAGTGTTATACTGACAGGAAATACGTGCCCCTTTGAGTACATATTCACATGGTTAAGCCTCCCTTTTCAAACTACAGTGATATTTTGTAACACAGACTTTGTCTTTTTTTGCAAAGTATTTATTTTTAAATAAATATCAATCATAAACCATTCCTTTAACCTCATGTTGACCTATAGGTATGTTTCCATGTTGCTTCTTTGCTAATGCGAAGTTCTTTTTCTCCACATTTTTCATTAGTACATATTTGCGGTACGTGATGATTCCATTCCTTGTGTGGAGTTGATACCTGTACTTAACACACCTCAAGTCTCTTTTCATCTCCTTTTCCTCCCCCACTCTGTCTCTTGGTCCCTCTCTCATTTACAAAAGATCTATCTCCCTATTTCCTATTATCTCTCTTTTATTTTGCTCCTTATTTATATTTTGGGTTGCTCACAGAAAAGAAACCATGCAAAGTTTGTGTGTCTGTTTTATTTCACTTAACGTTATAGTATCAAGGTGCACCAATTTTTCTCAAATGCCTCAGGTTTATCCTTCTTTAAGGCAAAGTAGTACTCTGTGGTGTGTAAAGACTATATAGTTTCTTTATTCACTCACCTGTTGGGCTTTCAAGATGTAGCCATTATGATTTGTGCTGTTATAATAACAACAAATGCTGGCGAGGGTTCAGGGAAAAAGGAACCGTGCTACACTATTGGTGGGAATGTAAGCCAGTACAACAGTTATGGAAATCAGTACAGAGATTCCTCAAAAACTAAAAACAGAAATTGTACTTGACACAGCTATTTCCTTTCTAAGTATTTTCCTGAAAGAGTTAAAAACATCTTATTACAGTGACATACGCCAAGTTTTTAAAGGGAAGAGTCTTAGTTTCTTTTTCCACATCTTTGTCTAAATCCTTCCCATTCCACAACTATGCGCACAAAGGCTGCCACACCATACTTCATTGATCTCAATATCAAATACAAGACAGAATTTTGAGTCCCTTTATTACCATACAAATCTTCTGCACTTCAATCTTGATTTCTTTTTTCTTAGAACTGTTTCTTTCCCAGGTAGCCTATGTTTGCATTCTGGCTGATCATTCCTTCTCAGTCTCCTCCCCAGTCTCTCTTCCTCCACCAGTCCCCTGTTTTCTTCTATTTAACAAATAACTTATGTTTCTTTAAAATATTCATATTTACTCTTTCAAAATGTGGAGAGTCTACCTGTCCAAGGACTAGATCTCCAAGCTCAAGTCCAATCCCTTTTGGATCCAACAAAGGACAGAGGACCAATTAATGACAATGAAATATGAGGAGAAATGATGAGTTACTTTGGGACCAAGAGCCATTTAAGAAATCTCTTTTGACTTTCCTTGTCTCTTTGGCCTGAAACAAAGTGGAACTACACAGTGAAAATAATGTGGAATCCATAATTATCATGTGTCAAACCATGATTGGTTTGTATGTGAAACAAAAATAACTTTCTATCTCAGTGGCAAGTATTTCTCTAATATATAAATTGTCTGGGATAGTCTGATTACAAAAGTCTGAAATATAAGGGGTTAGATCAGGCCACACAGTGGCAAAATAGTTGATAAAATTATTGTATATAATAAAGAAAGCATTCATGTAGCATTATGGTTTACATATAAAATGTCCTCCAAATGTCATATTTAGAGGTAGGGACTGGCCAGAGGGGTGGATCACTGGGAGCATGCCTTGGAAGGGTTAATTATTGTCCATGGACCCTCACTTCTCTCTGCTTCCAGGACACCATGCAGTGAACAGCTTTTCTCTGTCATCTTTTTCTGCCTTGGAGACAGCTGCTCATTCACTGAATCCCCGAAATTGTGAGCCAAGTTAAACCTCCTCTTTTAAATAGCGAATGGGTATTGTATGCAAGTAATGAGAAAATGATTAATACAAGACAATTTAAAAATTGTTCTGAGTAAAAGTATCTAATCATGACTTTTTTGTTTAAAAAAAATAGACATAGCCCCATTAAAATGTATTTTGAAAATCAAGGAATTCAGCTTGATGTTCAGGCTTCTCCCCACCCCCAGGTTTGCTGCTTTAGATGGCTTTAAAGTACTCACCTTTTAGTAGATTGGCATAAGGGAAAAGGAAATTGAGAGGGATATGGATAGGAAAAATCCTTGGGTATAGTTATTGCCATAATTAAACTCACTTAAAACAAATAAAGGTGAAGAGGGTGAAGGGAGGGCAGGGGTATGGGGAAAAAACAAGAACCAAGATATGTCATGTAAAGGTGCAAGATTCCAATGATAAATTAACTGTATGTTTGCTTTAAATGTACAAATAAACTTAATGGAAAAAATGTATATTTCATTGGGGAAAATTATATTATTGTCAAAATAATGAAATCCTATTATGGTAAAACTATCACTGTACTCTGATAAAGCCACAAATAGAAAGGATTGCTGAAACCATGCTGCCACTAAGAAGAGAATATATCCCCAAATCCATTTCAGATGTGAACACTGCAGACAAACAGCATGAAAATAATCTTTCTGAAATTGAGCCATGAGCCATAGGACAAAAGCCTGTGATAGTCTTCCCAAAGAATAGACCAGTATCTAATCGAATAACTTTTTTACTGCTGGGCTAAAAGTGCCCATATTGCCTGTCCAGCAAGTCATCACCATCATCGTCTTCATCATCATCATGGTCAGTGCTTTGGAGCAATGGATGCTGTGTGGCTCTGAACACACTCTTCTCTGAAAGGAAGTCTTTGTTGTATCATGTGAATGGTTTGAATGTGTTCCCCAGTAGTCCCTATATTGGAAGCTTAATTCCCAATGCTGCTATGTTGGGACTCAAGTCCTTCACCGTGTAGGAGGATAGGAGAACTGGAACCCTCAAGAATGGATAAATGCTGTTCTTAAAAAACTTCACTTTGTTTTTGCAGCACTGAGTTGATTTACACAGAAGTGAGAGAGGTCTCCTGGGAGTGGGTGCATCCTTCAGACAATGGGTTGTTGTAAGACCAAGTGCAGACTCCTCCATGTTACAAAAGAGCCAGAAAAGTCTTAAAATCTCAGACTCTCATCAGAGTTTGAGCACATACTGGTGCCTTGTTCTTTCACTTCCCAGCCTTCAGGACTATGAGATAAACCCACCTGTTCTTCACAAATTATCTTAATCTCAGGTATTTCGTCATTTATAGTGATGGGAATGGATGAAGGCCATGTCCTTGTATGTGCATCAATATGATCTATTGAGTTAGGAAATGCGATTGGGGTGGTAATTGTTCTCAAGCTCATTGGTTGCTGGGCAATTAGCAATAATATTTGAATTTGATGTAGAAGACAGTTTCATACAGAGATCTTGAAACTTCAGCTGGATGAAGCGACTGTATTAGACCATGTGGTATTTCCCTGGAAGATGAAAAAGGGTTGAAGATGATAGGTACAAATGTGAATGGAAATGGAGGCTTTGGTTAATCTTCAAAGTTTCATGCTTTATTTCTATAGCTCTAATAGTTTGTGTTCTAGAGAAAAATAACAAAAAATGTGATGTGTGTGTGTGTGTGTGTGTGTGTGTTTCCAATCTCTGTACACACTGTCTTAGTCACATTCCTGTCACGGAGACATAACACTTGACAGACAAAATTTAGAGGAGGGGGTGTATATATACTCACAGTTTCACAAATGTCAATTCATGATTGGTGGGCTCCAGGGCAGAAATGGCATGGCAGAAGGTCCAGGTGGAGGAAGGTTGCTCACTGCACAGCAGTTAGGAGTCAGAGGGAGAATGAAAGAATCAAAAAGGGAGAGACACCAATCCAGGTCACACCCTCAGTGACCCACCTCCAGTAAGCTCTGTCTGCAAACAGCAAGTCATCTGTAGTTACCCTGTGATCCAGTAACTTCCAAACACATGGGGCTTTGAGGTCATCTCAGAACTAAGTTACAACATATGCATTTATTTATTTATTTTCATTTATTTCAAGATAATTATTTATTTATTTTGGGTTTTTTTTTGCGGGGACAGGGTCTCACTATGTAGTTGAAACTGACCTGGAACTCACTATGTAGCCCAGGCTGGTCTCGAACTCACAGTGATCCTCCTGTCTCAGCCTCCCAAGTGCTGGGATTATAGGTGTGTGCCACCATGCCCGGCCCATAATATATTTATTATAAGGGATTGGCTCATGAAGTCATGGAGGATGGATACTCCAAATCAACAATGTGGGCAAGTAGACTTGAGGCACAGAATAGGCATTGATGCAGTCCCAGTCAGAAGGCTGACAGGTAGACACCCAAGAGAGGAGATGACGCACAGGGAGCCCAAAGGTAATTTGCTGGAGAATTCTTTGCTCCAGGATAGTGGCATTTTTGTTCTGTTCAGACTTTCAACTGATTGGAGGAGGAGCAACTATCTTATGGAGAGAAAACTAGTTTACCCAAAGGTTATCCATTTAAATATTAATCTTACCTAAATCTCTTCAAGTTGACACATAAAATTCAGCATTGTAATAGCATGGCATCATTGCTGGGACATCTAAAACCTTCCTCTATTGTTGCACTTTCCAGGGGAGAGACTATCTGCAGATATGTCTGCTTGCACTTGGAAGGAAAATCTAGATCCGTGGTCACATGATAGGAGAGGAGAGGCAGAAGTCATTTCTACACATCCCTTTTCCTAAGCTGATAGAGTATGCTGTGTTCGGCTATTTATTAGCTGCCTGTGATGGAACACAAAGCTGATTTAAGTGCTAGAGATAATGATAAACCCAATTCTTGCCTTCAAAGAGCTTACTTCAAAGAAGTTATATTAAAAATAATAAATAAGAAATATGACAGTGAGAGTACTTTTAGAGATGGATAAAGACTGTAAAAAACAAAACAAAATGAGTTGGCTCAAGTGTAATGAGCAAGAAGATGTCATGAGAGGGTTTGAGAAACTTTTGAAGCATTTCTCATTTCAAGTATTTGAAATCCCTAATATTGAGTTGTGAATGACATATTCAATTTAAAATAGTATTGTACTTTTCTTCTTGTTTCACAGTTATACATTTTCTCATCTACATTTCAGTTTCTCACACCAGAGAAATGACTCAGTATTTATGCACGTGTGTCCTATTTATTCCACTTAAGAGTATGTATCCAAAGTGCACCCACTTATCTATAAATGTTTCTAGTTTCTTATTCTTCATGGCTGAGTAGTACTCTGTTTTAGAAAAAAATCCCCCACATTTTCTTTATCCAGTCACCACCTGATGGCCATTTAAGGGGAAGGGGAATTGAGGTGGAGGGAGAGAGGAAAGAAAAATATATGAGAAAAGAAGGAATAAGCAGAAACAATTTTTTTAAATAGGGAGGGGTGGAGGGGTGAAAGGGAAGGAAAGGGAATGGGGAAAAAAGAAGAATCAAGATATATCATGTACAGGTACAGGTTCCCAATGATGAATGTGATTGTAATGTATAACCTAAAATGTACCAATACACTTAATTAAAAAATAAAAAAAAATTTCTACACTTAACTGAAACTGGAAGAACAAAGCATTTCTCCTTTTTTCTCAAATATTGTTATCCAGCCTCTTCAGTACCCCATTCCTCACTCAAGGGACTTGAGAAAGATTATGGCACTTTACTATGACTTTATCTTTATTAGGACAATAGCTGTAGATGGGGAGAAGACACTGGAATGGCCAGAGAGAGATCTAACCCTGTTTAACTTGATCACAGTGTTGAGGTGCATAGCCCCTCAGAACACCCAGATCATAAGAAACTTCCAGAACGTTCACAAGGAGCATTCTTACAAGTCATAGATTACAAAATAAGAATTTGGCAGAAGCACAAAACTCCCCAGGACATGACCAAAAGCCTCAGAAATCTAGGAAAGGAACCAATAACAAGATGGGCAAATGCAGTGTCGGCTAATCTTAATTGGAGTGATTCTCTGTGATGTCTGAATGATATAAAACATCTCTTTGTTTTTTAACACAAAACAAAATGTTAAAGGATGAAGTTCCTTGCCTGAAATTGGAAGCACCACTGGTGAGTTGGTGGTTATTTGGTGTACACCTTGAGTCCGAGAAAACAAGGAAAATGACGAAAGGAAATCAAGTCGTTAGATAGAAGAGTCAGAAGCCATTCTGCCCAATTCCCTTAGACACATTGCCTCTATTTTTGTTTCTATGCTGTTTCTTTTTTAAATTTTTATGCTTTAACCGTACATGTTTACAGTCACAATGACCACATTTTCCATGGGGAACGGGTACATGTACCTAATACATCTTAATTCATTTTCATCCACTTCCTCTCTCCTCTCCCCCTCATCTTATGGTCCACTTCCCATTTGTAAAACTATATTCCTCAATTTCCTACTCTCTATCTTTTATTTTGCTCTTTATTTATATTTGTTTTCTCACATAAGAGAAACCATGCAATGTTTAACTTTGTGTGTATTTTATTTCAATTAACATTATGACTGCAAGGTGGATCTATTTTCTTGAAAATGACTCAAGTTTATACTTCTTTATGTCAGAGTAGTACTTCACTGTGTACAAACACCACATTTTCTTTATCCTTTCATCTGTTAGGCCACTTCCAAGATTTCACGATCATGCATTGTGCTGCTCTCTTTTTTAGCGTGGCCCAGCCTTCCCTGATGCCAGGGCTGGTAGAGATTGCCAGTGTTTACTGTGATCTTGTCCCCTTGTCCTTCCTGGACATATACCTACATTACATTTGCCAGTGTACTTGCATTCGAATCTTGTCTTGAAATCTTGGCTATTGGAATGGTGGCAGGGTGGTAAGTTGTGTCTAAGCTTGGGCACAAGTGATTTCCTCTTTCTTCTTACTCCTTCATAGCTAGAATAGAAAGTTGAAGAGAGACTGTCCAGGAGAGGGTTTGGACTCAGTGGGAGGTTCTGTTGAGCCTTGTTTTCTCTTCTTTTCATGGTAGCTGTCCTCGTTTCTGACCTGATGTAAGAGCCAGTGTTGACTCTTTCTATGCCTCCCACATACAATCTGTTATTTCCAACTCCCTCTCTATTTTCCTTCTAATCAAAATGTATTCCCTTCTTACTGTTTGCCTCCAATTTGGCTCGTGCGATGTTCTGGGGTAGAGGTGGGGTGCTCTTTCTCTGAGATTTGGCATGTCCCATGTCATGGTCACTGCTGTAGCCTTTAGTTTTAGCTATGTGCCATATTGCATTGTCTTCATTACAAGGGTTGAAGGAGATTTAAAAGATTTGATTTTAAGCTAATTGAGGACAGGGATTACATGTCTTTGTAGCCCTGTGCTTTCTTAATTAAATAAAAGATAAAAAATTGAAGATGTGACTTGACAGGCTTAATGAAATTAAAGCAAGCACTGGATCTGCCTCCAACATACTGATTAAAAAATATTTAAATTGAATCATTGAAGAAAGGCTAATACATTTTTATCCTATTATGAGCACATTACTGAATTGTACTTATATTTCTCAAGGTCAAAGCCACCCACTTTGTGCAAAGGTCTTGATGTCAGCAATTCTCATTAAGGCCAGATGGGTTGCATCAGAGCACTTATCTACTGCCTGTTGTATTAAGCAGGAGGTGGCTGCTTGTGACATATTTTAGGTTCTGTAGCTATTTTTCAGGGCATCCATATACACAAGATTTATTTTAAACCCTTTAACACATTTCCCTCATATGGATGTTACTGTTATACTCCCTTGTGAGAACATGTGTTGGTTATGTTCGAATTAGACTTTAAAGTAACAAATTGACTTCCTTTGCAATGCTTTGGAAAAATTTTTAACCCTCAAAAATAAGTTCCTAGTTAGGTGAATAAAAATCAAGATCTGATTATGTGTTACAGAATAGGTGAAAATAGAGCAGGGAAGTTTTTCTTGCAAGCTTCTCCCTCTGGAGACCAATCCTTGCTGAGGTCATCAGGAGCCCACTCTCCTACTTACCTGCCACCATGTGATGGCTGCACACATGGGAAGTAGAGAGAGGTGGATGATGGACCAATAATCCTGGATGAAGAGTGTGGAAGCAAATGCCCAACACTGGCTGTTTGCGCAGAAGGAGATAAACACTGGGGCTGCTGCATGAGAGGGTAAAGAATTTGCTTCTTCAAAACCAGTTTCTTTTTTCACACCTCCAAGGTATCACTGAATCAAATTTCCTCTTTATTCTTACTTTTCCTTTTGTAAACTGCGTTCTCTCTGATTTATTCCAAATATGCTTCATATATATTTTAAGTCACCAGCTTATGAATGTTCTCCTAGAATGACTTACTTGTTCATAAGTTGAGGACTTTATATAATACTCTCATGTATAGTATTATTTTATCCTTATCACAGCAACATAAAGTAGGTGGGACCCATTTGGTCTCATTGTTTTATCCCTCAGGAAGCTAAAATATATAGGTGTATTTTGAATGTCCTATAACTAGTAAATCTCAAATGTGTGTCTTTTGTTTCTAGATTGATTCATAAGGAACTAGGGATGATCAAAAGATGCAGTGACTACTTCAATTTAAAAATTATTACAGTAGAAAACATATTGCCACAAATCCCCCTCAAAATACTCCCCCTGACTTCCATTACTCATGGCAACGTGTCTTTTACTGTGAGAAATTATTTTAAAATTTAAACTCATTATATTTTTTACCATCCTTTGGATGTTGCCTGCTAACTTACAAATCTCTTCATGATCTGGCTTTTTTTCCTTCTCCAGTCTTACAGTTTATCACTTTTTCATTTTGCAATCTGTTATTCAGTCATATCCAGTACCTTTCAGATCCTGAATTTTGCTGGTCTTTCTTGCTTCTGAGCACATTTACTCAGGCATCTATTTCTGCTTTTAATATGATACCCACAATGTTGCTCGATTAACTCTAGTCAACCTTCACATTTTCTCCTCTGGGTCCTCACTTTCGAGGGCCCTTTTCTGGCTGTTCTCTCCTCCCTTCCAAGCTACCTGTCCTTTGTGGTCCCTCATGCCTTGCTTGCCCTCCATCTTTGTATTTGCCATGGGTAACATATTATAATCATATCCCCCATCCACTTGTATGTTATATCAAAATAGTAGACAACATTCTTATTCATAGCATCTCTCAGATGAGGGGACCAACGTTAATTCTTTTCCTGACCAACTGAAAGGATGGGTGAAAATATATTCCTTATTGAACCTTCCTTTTCTTTCAATCAATTTACAAGTCTCCTTTACTACTTCTAAAAAATGTTGTAGAAGGGGCTGCGGATTTAGCTCAGTCATTCCAGTACTTGCCTCGCAAGCGCAAGATCCTGAGTTCAATTCCCAGTACTAAAAAAAAAAAAAAAAAAAAAAAAAAGTTTTAGAAAAATAACAATAACAGTTCATTTAAGGACATGTTCTGTGTTTGCAAATATAAAGTCTCTCTAGTTACTTTGGAGAGTAATGTGAAGATGATGTCATTTTCAGTGAGAAGAAAGAATAAACCCAAGCTCCCACTTTACTCCTTTTCTGGTTCCACTTTTTTATAACCACCTACTTTAAAGCCCTGGATTGTAGTCAGTTCTATCTTCAACCCATCCATCAAGATTTGTGGAAATGTTTTGCGAACCACTTGATATCCATAGAGTGCTAACTCATAGGTCAAAATAACAATATAAATGCAAATTTATAGGGTTTCCTATTATGCAAAAGAGGTTATTTGAATTCTTGGCCTGAACATATTGCAGTCATAGACCTTGCTAAAATCAATCCCCCTGAGATTTTTCCATCCTTAATGTGTTCTTGCCGTTCTTTGTTTGTGTTTTCAGTCCTGACATGCAACTTTGAGAACTTGGGCCCCCTCGGATAAGAGTTGTTTGAACCAAAGAAATGAAAGCTTCTTAAAGGTTATCTACCTTGAACCATGTCCAGGTTTCACACGGATGAGCTATGTAAAACCTTGCCATATGTTCGCCTATAAGTTGGTGCATCTGAGTAGAGTAAGATATTTATAAAATGATCTATGTATATTCATTGATCGGTGAGATTAGTTTTCTGGGTATTCATATAGCTCAATGTCTGACATTGTATAATTTTCCTAAACAAGTGAAATGTGGTTAAAACAAACCTATTAGGCCTTGTGCATGGAATCTTATGGTGTGGTGTGTGAAGAGTCTGGGGAGCAGTTGGCCACCAGCTGGAGCCTCATTTTGTTTTATTGGAGTGGAATTGAGACTTTAACAAGCTTAATTATCACAAGACTTCACCTGCATCACAGAATTATTACCCCCACCCTTTGCCCCAAACCCTTTTTAAAAACACATTGCTGGGTGTGCTTTGGGATCTGTTTTCATTATTTCCACCCAGACTATATGTAATTTGAAAGCTTTATAGTGATACCCTTGATTTAATTACAGTGGCACAGAAGTGTAAATGAAATCTAGCTTCTTTTCCATAGGTAAGATCAGGAATAGGGGTGAGGGAACTTGTAGATAATGGTAATGTGTTCACATTCACAGGAGCTTATCTATACATTGAATTTAAGTGGTACATCTGGGTAATCTTTTGTTTGAATTAATTGACGAGGGAATCATGTGTTTACATCATTAGTCCTCGTATACTGAGGGATTACTTTATATCACCCTGTGATCCTGATCCTAACGTAGCTGGTGTAGTTCCCGCATGAAACTGACAGTAAATATCATTGACATCTTGCTTCACTGGAAGTCTGTATGAATTTACAACAAAGATTATCGATGACACATTTAAACCTTATGTTATAAATTCTGTATTTTCTTTTATCATGATCTTCTGAATGGTGATTAACTCCTGCTACTTCCTTCATTCTATGTCTTTGGTGCATGAATAAATGTGTCCCACCTCATTAAAATGAGGGCTTGAGGGAGAGTTTAGAGAGAGAGTTAAAATTACTTTTTTAACGTGAAGAGAAAGAAGTGTTGAGAATCTCTGGTTGGTGACAATAGCAATAACACAATGGAAAAACCGGTAAAAAGTAAATCCCTTGTTGCTTTTTGTGCTAAAAGATTTCTAGAACCTGGACAGATTGGAAAGGCACAAGGCTATAAGAATAAATTAGATGTTAGCAAGGCATAAACAGCTTGACCCTTTTGAGCTCAGGCTTATAGCTTTCTTGTCATCGATAAGATAATTATGTTTCTATTTGCCTGTGACACTTGGGATTAGAGCTATTTGTAAATCTTGGTAAATGAACTGGGGACAGTTGGCTTAGCCCAACAACAATATTGCGATAGATGGGGTTTTCTGAACTGAAAATAGTGGACAAAAGAATCACCCATGGAATTTGCTATCCACCATGTTCTGAGAAGTTTAGCTAATGCATGATGTTCCATAAGAAAGAGGAAAACGTAATTGTTTTGGACAGTCTCATGAGGGAATGAGGAGCAGTATTAAAAGAAAATAAAGGTTATTTTATAATATTATGTGTATTAAATGACTTTTGCTCTATTGTTTTAAATACAGTAGTACCTCAGTTTACGAACTTAATTTGTTTTACTATTTTGGGGAAGGCAGCTGTCTTTGTGTTTGTGTGGGGCAGATGGATGTGGTCCTGTTTTTCACCCAAAGCAGTGTTCGTTATTGGAAGCAAAATTTTGCCAAATGCTTTTTCTTGAGGACTGAATTGTTTGCAAACAGAAGTGTTCAAGGTATTGCTGTATTTTAGTGGTTAAATTCAATTGCTCCCAGGCTCTCAGACTGAAATTCAGTCTTAAAGTTACATTTTGTAGATTTCTCTGACTTTTCCCCTTTCATCTCTAACATGTCTGCTAACAGTACATTCCTCTCTTATGGCACTTCTCAAATTGCATTGTAATTATTTGTTTACGTGTCTGTCTCCCTCACCAGACTGTGAGCTCTTCAAGGACAGAGACAGCATCCCATTTCATTCAGCTGGAAAGTTGGAAGGCCCACAGCTTGGCAATGTTTGGCATGTAATCAGCACGCAACAAAAGTTGACAGAAGAAAAGGGGCCGAGAGTAATGAACGAGTAGAAATTATTGTCATCTCATATCATAGTATGCAAGAAAAAAGGCATATCCATCTTATTACTCCTTCCATGTCATGTGGCCTTTTCTGGAAAACTAAGTCTGAACAGTATTCTCAACTCTTACTGTAAAATTCCACAACACTGATAACGACCCCATAATTAAAGTGTAAGCACTGCCAAATCATTGTAAATCACTGAGCTGCAATCTTGGGTGGTTTTGTGTTTTAATTGTAATTCACTCATTTTTTTTTTTTAAAGATGATGTCTGTTTGGTTATATAAAACTTTACAGCCAATGGTTATACTTTTCTAATTTTCTTGTTATTTCCAAATATTTAAATTAGAATTTATTAGTCAAAAAAGAATAGACGATTTGCAAGTCATTGAGTGATCGAGTAAGCTAGCTATTAAATAACAGATTCGTTCAAAAACCAGTATTATTAGGGGAGAATTAAGATATGCTAATATTCATAATTGCTTGTCACAAAATATGTTTGTTTCTTCCTTACAATGAAATGCAATCTCTAAATAAAAATTCATAACAAAAAAACCCAGAATTATCATTCACCATTGAATAAGTAGGGCAGAAGCTGGAAACTCTGCTGGGTATTAAATTCTTCTCCTGAACAAATTTTTTGGTTTCATTAAAAATGAAAATGTGGGCTGGGGATTTAGCTCAGTGGTTCCACTGCCTGCCTCACAAGCCCAAGGACCCGAGTTCAATCTCCCATACGAAAGAAAGAAAGAAAGAAAGAAAGAAAGAAAGAAAGAAAGAAAGAAAGAAAGAAAATGCATTACATGTAGATTTTCCTGTTATTACATGAATTTATATGTATTTAAGAGAAATTTAATTGTCCAATTCCATTCATTTACACTTGTGCTATTAAAGAGGGATTTGGTACTAGATAAGAAAGAGCCTTTTTTTTTTCTCTTGTTGAGTTTATTGGTACATTGTAGATATACAGTACAGTTATATTCATCATCGGGATCTTGTACCTTTCCATGAAAGGTCTTGGTTCTCATTTTTTCCCCTTGTCCCTGCCCTCCTTTCACCCCTTGCTACCCTCCCCATTTACAAACACTTTATTTCCATTTTTTCATTTTCTCATATTTTTTTCTTTTTCCTTATTATCTTTTCCCTACCCTTCCTACTTTCCCTACACCTTTCGCTCTTTTCTTTCTATTTCACATTGTCAATTATCTCATTAGGATCTTATGTACTATTATAGCTTTTCACACCAGAAAAAACAGTATTTACACATGTGTGACTTATTTATTTCACTTAGCAGTATATCCTCACTATGTATCCATTTTCCTATGAATGAATCTAATTTCTCATTCTTTATGGCTAAGTAGTATTCCATTTTATAGAAAAACTACATCTTCTTTATCCAATCTCCAAATGACAGGCAAATGGGCTGTTTCCAAGTTTTAGCTATTACAAACTGTGCCACTATAAACATAGGTGCCATATATCACTGTGGTATGATTCCTTTAATTCTTTTGGAAAGATACCCAGCAGAGGGATGGCTGGGTCAAATGGTACCTCTAGTCCCAGCTCTAAGAAAGAGCCTTTTTGTTTTTTTTTGGTACTGGGGATTGAACTCGGGTCCTTGTGCTTGCAAGGCAGGCGGCAGAACCCCTGAGCTAAATCTATGGCCCAAGAGTCTTTTTGTTGATTTAATTCTTTATTATTTTAAACCCCCAGGCATTGTTTTTGTCCTGGCACATAACATACTTAATTATTTAGATAATCTGACGACAATGTGATTGTCCAAATATTTACTTCAGCTAAAGAAATGGGAAAAAACATGTCACTGTCCTTAGTAAAGAATGTCTGACAAATCATATTGTTCTTATAAACAAACTTACGTAAACTTCAACAGCACATAAGTGAATAGTGATAGTATTTTAAGAGCAGGAGCAGTAATTACTTAATAATAGATAATCAGGTGGTAGAGCGCCTGGGCCAAAACAGAAATTATAAATCCTGATTATGTTTTGACTGATGAGTGGATTACGAGAGCATATAGAGTAACAACGTTTTTGTGTACTGATTAGATCAGTGGAGGGGAATTAGAAGGTTATTTATTTATTTGGTATTTAAAGTATGTAAGAAATTTCAACTATTGTGGGAGGCTTGCAGAGGGAACAACATTGATCTATATGGAATGTATATTCTTAACCTGGAGAGAAAGTAGTATGGTTGGTCTTAGATAGAAACAACCAAAGCTTTCGCTAAGAAGACAGAGTTTCTGATGAGCTAGTATTGGGAGTAGGGAATGGTTAGAAGAGGAAGATGGAAGACTTAATTCTTTTCTTTTTCCCAGTATTCCTAAACTGACCATTCCAGTTGTGGTCTTTATAGAAGGGGCAATAGCTAAACTTTAAGAAAATACAGTTTCCATATTCCTTTATTTATTTTAGGAAGTTTACTCTACTTGTCATGTTCTTGATATAGGAGAAATATAACTCCTAACCTGCTAGATGTCAAATACAGCAAATTCATGTCCCCTGAGATTGAAGAATGAATTGCAAGGAACAGAGGAGGTTAACAGTAGGAAAGATTTATTGAGAGATAGCTTCTGAGAGATAGAGGGGTCTTGAAAGTGGATTACCACAGAGGTCATTTCTCTAACAGTGTCTTATAGAGCAAAATCATGAAGTGAGTACAAAATCACAAGGTGGCTATGACGTGGGTCAAACTATGATCAACCAATACGATTACAAATACAGATGCTTAGCTGATATAGACCCAACAGGGAATCTGGTCATGTGGCAAGTGTACATGGAAAGAACAAAGGCATTTTTGGGAAGGGATGGGTCTGGATGCTCTGGCCACCCAACTGGGTGACTGATGCCTATCTGGAATTTACTGGACTAGGATCATAGTGTAATCTCAAGTTATTGCTTATTCTTCAGGAAGATATGAGACCTGGTCATTCCATCTTTATTTTAAGGCCTGGCCTTTGATGGATGCACCTCCAGCCGCAGTTGTGATGTGTTGTCATCTATTTCACTAACTCCCTTGAGGTCCTACCCCTGTCCGACTGCCTATTAATTTTTACCTAACTTAGCTGCCTTAGTAATACTCTGACTTTAATACCATATTCTAATTTTCTCTGTTTTTGAATTTTATGTGTGTAAAGGAACCTTTTGTGGGTTTTTTTCCTCTTTGGTGACTTTCTACTCAGTATATCTATAAAATTTCTCTCTGTTCTTACATATAGTTGTGATTCATTAATTTTCAGTGTTTTATATTGCTCTGTTATATGAATATACCACAATTTATTGATTCTTTTATTGATGACAATTTAAATTTTTTGTCCCTGCAATTTTACAGTTTTCACCTGTACTATCATTTATTGATACTTTTATTGGATGATTACCAAGTGGAATTCCTGTATTTTAGGGTATCCAAATATAAGGCTTTATTTACTTCATAGTGTTAAATAGCTTTCCAAAGTGATTGTACTAATTTGTACACCCAAAAGTCATCGTACGAGTGTTCTAGTTGCTCCAACCCTCACCAATATTTTAGTCATTTTTAAAAATAATATTTTGTGTATAGTTGATTCTGTATTGTGATTCTAATTTTTGTCTCATAACTAATAACTTGTAGCACTTCCAATTTTAAGGACTGTCTTGATATTCTTTTCTTGTTAAGTATTTTGCCTATTGTTTTTGTTGTACTGTGATCCCTTTTCCTTATTTCTTTATACCAGTGAGAATTCTTTCTTCCAGCCTTTTGTTGATATATGTGTGGCCAGTACCTTCTTCCTGTCTGTGGCTTGTCTTATGGCATTCTGTTATTGGCTTGTATCTAGATGACCCCCAAAGCCTCATGCAGACATATATGGAGCTTTCCTGCCTTTTGCCCACCATGAGCTGTCTCTCCTCCCTGAAGCCCCTCTGCCAGGTCACCCTGCTTTGAAGCCAGCTGCCTATGAACTGAGACCTCTATAAACTATAAACTAAATAAACCTTTCCTCCTTTAACTTTGAACGTTGGGTATTTTGGGTTGGCAATGAGAAAAGTAACTAAGACACACTTTTAATGGTGAAACACCTAATTTATTTTGTAGGGTGCTGTTGGCCTCCTCATTGCCTCTGCATTCCAGGTCGTCCCTTACTACATCAGGAAGATTTGTGAGAGGGCACGGTGGGTGCAGGGAGCTGGAAGGCATGCTTAACTGTGGAGTACTCACTGTAGCCTCCACTTTCAAGATGTTGCTATGCGTTATTGTTCAATATGTGCATGATTAAATGGGTTGAATGATTTATTATTCAATTTTTACTAAACTAATTTTTCACAAAATAGATAAGAAACTTTAAAATTTTCTTGCAAAGCAAATTAAATTGAAGATCTATAAATGGGGCAGGCATTTTCATATGACAAAAGAATTGTTGGCCTGATGGCTTTTCTCCTAATAAGAGCTAGTCTTTAAAAAAAGCAACTGAATAATATCTGAGAAGTTAGTAAAAAATAACATCAGAAGTCAGGTGTGGTGGTGCACGCCTTTAATCCCAGCACTCGGGAGGCTGAGACAGGAGGATCGCTGTGAGTTCGAGACCAGCCTGGGCTACACAACACAGTGAGTTCCAAGGCAGTCTCAACTACATAATGAGACCCTGTCTCAAAAACAAAAACAAAAACAAAAACAACAACATCAGAAAAGCAGCTAAAATAAAGATTTATATCTAGCGTAGTTAACAATGAGCCTTGTCCTAATGCATTTTTCTTGATATCTTAAAGTATAATGTCACCATATTAAGAAAATATTAAGTATACTTATTTTATCTTTATCTCATCCTTTTACATTTTTGAAGTGTTGTATAATAACTTAATGTAAACTTATGTTTTTATATGTCAGTCATCAATAAAAATTAATAAACCTCTACTGGTATCATAATCAAAAGAGCTTGGAGTTCTGCTCTAGAAAAACGAAAACTTCTGCTAAGCAGAAGCCTCTGACTGGAGCAAACCTTCAGGCAACTTTTGAAATGGAAACTTACAGACACACTTCCCACCTTAGCCTAGACTTGACTCTTTGAAAAGCATTATAGAGTTTCACAGAGCATGTGGAGGTGTTTGGAACGGAATTCTGATAGGTTTATTAGTAATAGAAGCTGTTCTTTTGAACTCTTGTTGTTCCATAAATCTGTTTTGAATATCCTG